TTACGTGGTGATATGATTATCATTACTCTGGTAAAGATACTTTTTAGGATGTTATTTTGCTGAAGATTATTTCTGTCTTGTGTCGCGTGTCACACTCTGCCCCTTACACTCTCTGTGACCCTGATTTATGGTTAAATGTTTATTCGAAAGTCATTACCTTTCAAAAGGTCCATCTTTTATTTAACAAATAAAGAAGCCTCGACTGTGTTCTATTCTGTTGTAAAGCACGTTGGAAGCGGCTAGAGCACGGAAGAAGAGTAGCCTGCCTGCGAGCGAAGAAAGCACTCGTGCGGCAGCACTGATAAGGAGGACCCGTTTTAAGCTAGATCAGATGCGTGCTTAGATTTTTTCTGAGTTAATGCAATCCACGTTAATCTAGTCTATTTACGCGATAGCAATGATTTTTCTTGGCCACTTCAGCATTGTAAGTATTACAGGATGCACCGTTTTATTCTATGCTACGATTTGCAGTACTTATTGTGAGGAAAACTTTCCTCCACAAAGGAAAAAAATTGATTCTAAATTTTTGAGTCTATGTGCTTATTTGAGATCTCGTGGTTATCTTCCTACTATCAATTACATAAAATGAGGTGTTTGCTTCAGCGTCAGGATATCATCAAGCTTCTCCATCGTTGAACTCTGTGATATTTGTATATGTCCTCTGAATAAATTAGTCGCAAAAAAATACGAATAAGGATAGAGATAACGGTTGTACCGTATAAGAATTAAATCTAAGAAAGAATGAACTTACGAATAAGCAGATGAACGAATGGAAGTTAAGGTCACATCGATAGACGGAAAGCAAGTGGATGGATGAGTATGTGTACGAATGGATGGGTCGATAGCTGCAGTTGGAGATAAAAGGTTTATCAGAAGGACTGACAGAGTGACAGAGGGATCCATGGAAGGGTAAAGGGAAGCATAATTAATAAATGGAAGGAGGAAGAAGAGGGCAGATATAATTTTGAGAAAAGCGAAAGGAAGGAAGAAATGGAAAGCTTCTAAATACAACCATTAATTACCTTCACTTCTCGCAAAAAATTCTTCAGCTGCTGGGCGATCTGCGAAAAGGCTGGTCTCATCAAAGGATTTTCTTTCCAACAAGAACTCATGAGCTCATATCTAAAAATTCAATACAGTATTAGCTAACATTGTCTTGCAACTGATACCCTCAGCATCTGAATGGACCATACCAAGCGTGGAAAGGGGTGCAAAGAGGTGATTTTGAACTCATGACAATGATCATTGGAAAGATCACATATTGGCCGAATGTGACATTTGATTTGATGTATAAATTGTTCTTAAATCATCACGACTGATTCACTTAGCTTAATGCATCGTTTTGATTTTCAACGAGAAATATTGAGTGTCAACGGATCTTGCGAGACTTTGCTCGAAAGGTAAAACGATTTTCAATTATTTTTAGAAAAATCCGGGAGGTAAACGTCCACTTTTTAAAGCCTTCTTGATATTCAATGATTCAACTGAATTTTACTAGCATTATTTAGGACTTTATAGCTTACAGTTCTTCCGAACATCGATCGGGACGAGGCATCCGGTATCCCGAAGCAAGTCGAGTTACTAAGGCAATTGGTGATGTGATGTCAGGGTACGGCAACTCACCTGTTTGGCGGAAATAAGATATGATTTAACGATTTCAGTTTTTAAAGAATATCATTTAAGACAATAAGTATTTCAGCAATAACTTTGTGAATAAATAGAGACTTTCAAAGACTTTATGTGGATGATTTAGGTAGATAAAATTAAGTGCAGC